TATTGAGCACTATCTAGACAATGATAAACCGATTTCTAAAATCGATTGGCTCGATAAACTGGTGAGAGCGACCTATATTTACGAAGACACGTTGGTGAATACTGAAACAGGTAATTTGATAATCTATGTGATTTTTGACTGATATTCCCATGGAAATCATCCGGGAAAATGATAATCGGGAATTTACCTGCCAGGTCACACAACCTGCCAGGTCGTGCGAATTCGAATATTATGAGGGTTATTATTAGAATGAAATATTGGATAGTAATAGTAGATCTGACACATTTTAATTCTGTTTGTGTTCAATTCTCTATAATCTCCACTCTGTACAATCACCTCACTATATACGCATTAGACACACCCATTCCCATTTCCCCATCCATTATATTCGATTAATCCCTCACTATTTATTATTATAAGTTCTTTATTCATCTCTCAAGTACTATATCCATAGATAATGTTAAGACCAGCTCTGGCGTGCAAATGTTTTAAATGGTATTATCATATTATCTATTCAAGCCTGTAAATATAGATATTAGACATTTGCGGTAAATCTTAAAATATCATGAACGTAAGATTCGAATCCAAGGGCGCAAATGCCTATGTTGAAAAAAGTTATAACAAAGCACCGATTCAATCAATATGGACGTCAACCAATATATCCAAACAGTTACGATGACATCAAATCAATTTTGCTAGAAGAACAAGCTATGCGATTAAGGTAATTTATGCAACATATCCATCTTGTTGATATCATTAAATCATACGATTAAATTGTATTACTATTAAAGAATTGACATTGGGTGAATTTTAACTTTCGATGTAAATCCGGAAGCTGAATTCATCGCAATCATACGATTAAACGCGTCACACATTGAATTATGCGATTAGAACGAATCTGTGCCATTAAATCATACAAATAAAATAATCATAGAATCATACGATTAAAAAGAGCCGTATTATTTATTTAATATACGTTAACAATCGTACCATTGAATCATACAATTAAAACGAATGGATGTCATGCTTTAAAACAAATCGTACCATTGAATCATACGATTGAAACGAGTTGTACCATTGAATCATACGATTGAAACGAGTTGTATCATTGAACCATACGATTGAAACGAGTCGTACCATTGAATCATACGTTGAAACGAGTTGTACCATTGAATCATACGATTAAACAAGTCGGATCATTGAATATCATACCGTTACTACTAACTTGTAATAGTAGCAGAATAATCCGGAATCGTCCGAAAGCTGGTATCAACGTCTACGCTATAAATACGATGGTTAGAATCGCTCATTACACTTAAGTCGTGATCAAAAATATTATTTGAAACACTCACATCCACAGACACAATCAATCAACACTATTACTATTGTTACAATGACTCAACTTCAAGAATTCCTCACTGCTACAAAAGCCTTTCTTGCACTTAAACCTTCCCTAGAAAACATCAAAGCTTTTATGAGTCTGTCTGATATGCAAATTAGGCTCCAGTTCGATCTTTCTGTTGTCAACATAAGGAAGCCACGAAACGTTGCAGTTGATGTAAGTGCTGCTCTCTTTTTGCCGGACGAATACAAACACCTTATCTGTGGCGTTACAACAGGCGATGGAGCATGCCTATTCAATGCAGCATCATTATTCCTAGTGGCGAATGAATCATTAAGCCTAATACTACGTGCAGCAACTGTCCACGAGCTCTTATCGTATCCCGAATTCTACCTCCGTCTCCCTGTCTTCATGACAGACTGGCCATGGTCAAATGCCGCTTTAAATGCTAACAATCAAAATGACCCAGATAATAGTCAATATCGAAAAGCAAGTATCTACAAAAACGAAGTAGCAGATTTTTGTGCTCCGAATGCATACTCACCTTTACTGGCAGTATATGGTCTTGCAAGTGCAATCTCCCGTCCGATTAATTCAATTTATCCACCAAATAGTGAATCCCCATATCATCAGCTAATCCTTCCACGTCAAGTAAATCACTTTCAACCACCTATCAATATAATGTGGGTGAATATTGTGATTACAACACAGGCTGAATTCACAGCTTGGATAAATAGTTCTCTTCCAAGTACAAATCATTTTGTGCCTGCATTCGAACCACCAACAACACCAACAACACCAAGTGAGATCACGGAAGACATACCAGTTCACACTGTAAAAAATGATAATGAATGACACAGTCAACGTCATTACTGCTGCAAATAGACCAAATAAAAGTATTTATGTCGCGACATTAGTGGCAGGCTTGGCTCCTGTAAAAGAATTGGAAGTTAAGATCGAAGCTGGAAAGGAGATTAGATATAAGTCATTAGATGATATAAAAATTGTGTTGGAACGAGATGAAGCAGCAAATCTTGTCACAACAGATCATTGCTGGAAAGACTCATATACTTCCCATTACTGGTTACGTCAAATTATCCGACGCAAGGGCCTCTTTCCACAAGTTGCTATCAGTATTGACAGAACGCGAGAATTAGAAAATAGTTTGAAAAAATACTTCCACTGTAGTGGGTGCATTGATAAACGAACTTCAACTGCTGGTCTATTCTGCATTGCAAAACAGGAATTGAAGGAAAAGACAGAAACAATCCACTTGCATATACAATCCCTTGAGAATCGGCGTTGCTGTGTACATCACACAGGGATCTGTTATGGGCAAATGCGTGGTCTTTCAGCGGCACTATTAAGAGAAAAAGATGCATTACCGCGTCAGTTACGAGCTGAAAGATTAGAAGCTATTCCATTACAGCAAAGACTGACAGGAAACCGCCAAGACGTACCATCACCACAGGCCGCGCGTAAGCTAAAACAAACAGGTATTAATAACAAGAATGACTATACAGTAGGGGAGCGATTTCATGCAAGCATTAGTATTATCAATGAGAATGAAAAACTAAAATACGCTGAGGATAATAGTGAAAAAGCTGAGAAAGACAGAAAGTTACGTGGGTACATACAAATGCCAGTGATGGCAGATCCCTTATCAGTCCATTTAACACTCACTGGACAAAAGTCTACGTAATTTTTGTCGATCACATAGTAAAACATATGAAAAATCTATTTTTTCGAAGC